GGAGACTGTCTGCACCGCATGAGCCGCGCCGCCGTCCCGGACGAGTTTAGAGGCGTGGGCCTGGTCGCGGACACAGGGCGGATTTGCTCCGGATCCGACTGCTCGGCAGTCGGGCCGGTCTTGGCGCGGTGGTGGAACGTTATGCAACGCTGCCGTATTGGTCCACGAGGCATTCTTTTGTCCGACGCCGTGACCTCGCCGACAAGCGTGGTGGAAACGTTGCGCGTTTCGGCATTCTCTGCCTTCTCGCGGCGTCAGCGCCACAGCGGGGATTGAGGCGTGCGCGTGCGTGAGCATTAGCCAACGCAACTTTCGCTTTGAGGGCGACTGAAGCGCGATGGCCGTTACCAGCTCCGTGGAAACCGCCCGGCGCAGCGAAGGCCGCGCCCAGCCGTCACGCCCGTCCCTGTCCGCAGAGGCCGACAGCCAAGGAGCTGTTGCGGCTGCCGTTCATCCGGAAGGCCAAGAAGACTTCGTACCTGATCGACTTGATTGACCGGCACAAGAAGTACAAGATGACCAAGCAGGACGACTCAGACAGCAGCGAGGAGACCGACTCGTGAGTAGCAAGGGACTCAGTACCGCACGTTCTCATCGCCGCAACGCGCGACCAGCGCTACACGCGGTGGGGCGGGTGGCTGTGTGGGCGCGCGCGTGACTCTCGCGTCATAAGTGGCTGCGCTGGTTATGGAGCAACCCGATGCATCCGGCCGATATTGGGCCACGTTGTAGTCTGTGCAGGAAGGATAAAGCTGCGCGGGACTTCAACCTACAGGCGACGAGGGTTCGCCGATGTCGTGAATGGGTGTAACCGCCCGCGGTGGAGATAACCGCATTCCTACGCTTGGCCTCAACCGGTTGCTAGGTCATTGGTTAGGCGCCCTATTTCAAACCGATTCGGAGAAGTTGTATGGGCGTATTTCCGGCACGTTGGATGAACGAGCCCCTTGCATACGTAATGACGTAATCACGTCACTTGTGGTTGTTTTTTTTGCGTGTTCTGCGCCCAGCAACAGGACATGTGCATGCTTCGGTCACGTGATTCTGGCGTCGTGGTTTAAATTCCTTTTAATCGCCAATCTAATGTTAAGTATCGTGGCTCTCGAGCACCGCGCCGCATCGGCACACACTGGGAAAATGTCACTGATCTGAACAGCCAAAACGACAGTGATTTGTTGACGTCGACACAATTAGACAGCGATGGATGATCTAAGTGATCTTTTAAATCACCATTATCGCTCGCCAAGCCTGATTAACAACGCAAACCGCGTTTACATTCTGAGACGAACATTTTCATAAGCTTTTCCAGTGAAATGCTCGTTATTCGCTCGAGCAATTCAGCGGCTCTGTCAGTTTTATCCTGCCATCGATTGCCGCTGATGGCTTGCTTTAATTAATGTAATCGATATCTGAACGTGGCTACCTGCGACGTGTGACGAATTGAACGGTTTAGAGCACATTATGGCCATTAATCTTGAATTATCTGGTACGAAATAGGCTTTTAGTTGTATTTGCATTGGCTGGTTACGCATGTTCTTGCACTGCAAAGGATTGAATGATTCTGGGAAGATCGCGCTACAATGTCTTTTAGTGTGCGAAATTCTCACCAGCTTTTAATGATCTTCGTAGATTATGCAATTGATGGGGCAGGCATGAAGTGCGCAAGGGGCCGGAACACTCGGAACTTCAGCACTCGTTTGTATTCCTATTCGTCTGGAGCTAAGCTAACACTCTGCTACTTACGTGCAATCAAAGCGGACACGTTCGCCACCCCTTGGCCCATTTCTGTCCGACTGTTTGCACAGTGGAACATGCAAACCATCGTCGTTGAGTCATGACTAATGAACTGACGTGGGGCCCGTTAAGAGGCGTGGTTGGCTCATGTTCTGGCGATGCGCGGATACATGACGTACGCTGGGACTCACTCAGTGTGTGTGTGAGACGTGGCCGGCAGCCGACCGGCGGCGCGCCGGGCCGACCCTCTCGTGGTTCGGTGCCGCGGCCCGCCCGCCCCCTGCAGCCTGACCCGTCTCGATCCGCAGCCCGCCAGAGGGCGGCACAGTGCTGCGACGGCGCGGCTGCAGGAGAGCGCGCCGTGTGACGGCTGTCGCCTCTTATGGGGCCGCCGCGCGAGGCGGTCCAAACCCCGGTCGTGCAGCGACCATGCGTGTCGGTTGTGGCCCATGTCGATGATTGGATCATTACTTATTCGGGGTGCAATGAGCGCGGTACCATGCGTACCGGATAGGGCGGGATAGTCGACGTGATGTCCTCAGTCGCGACGGGGTCGCCTGTGGGACGCCCTCCGCTGCGCTGGAGTCACCGGCCGTGCTGACGCCGGCCGGCGCCGATCGCCCGCAGGGAGGGGTCGCGGAACGACTCCGACCTGGACGAGCCGTGGGTGCCGACCATCCGCGGCCCGTCGTCGGGCCGCCGCCAGACCGAGCTGGACACGAGCGTCGACAACGGCGGCAAGGCCGACCGCGACATCGACAGCATGAACCACAACAACCGGATACCGCCCCAGGTCATCACGCAGGTCAGTGACGGGGTGCCGGGCCATCACTTGGAGCTGTCAGATACCGTGGTATGTCAGGCCGCCGGGCAGCTGCGTTCGCCCGCAGAGCCAGGCCCGTGACCCGTGCGTGGCGGTGTGCGTACCGTTTTCCTGTGGATCTCGCTGGGTTGTGTCGCCGTCCCGGGTGGATCTAGCTGCGTTGTGTCCCCCCTCACCCCCTCCCCCTCCGGCCTGCAGCGTCCCGTCCAGTCCCCCCTAACCCGCGCGGTCCGTCCCCTCCGCAGCTGCAGAACGGCTCGGCGCTGCCGGACGTCTCGCCGCTGACGACACCGACGCCGCGGTCTCCGGAGAAGGAGACGCCGCCGCCGCGCAGTCCGGTCAGTGGCGCCGCCGGGGCATCGACCGGGGGTCACCCGAGGCGCGGCCGGCTCCGGCGCGGCGGGGCGCCGCAGACCACGTGCGGGGTAGAGCTGGCAGCCGGTTGCACACCGGTTGACCCGTGTTGAGTTCGGGACGTGATGAGATGTCGCAGGTGGCGGACGACGCGGTCGTGTGATCTGTTGTGGTCGGTCAGAGCGGTCGTCGCGACCTGCCTGCGTTGTCGGGTGTCGTCGCCGTGCTGTCCGCCGCTGTCGCCCGCCGTTGTGTCGGCGGCATGGCCCGTGTCGGGCTGCGACGCGCGTGACGCGCCACCCATGTCGGACAGACGCGGCCTACCACGTCGGCGCGCCGCCGCCGCCGACCGAGCACCGCCGGTCGGTGGCGGAGAGCCCGGCCGAGCCGGCGACGCCGGCGGCCGGCAACAGACGCCGCTCGTCGGGCAGTCCGAGCAAGGTCGTCAGTCCCACCAGCCAGCACCCGAACCGGAGCCGCACGCTCAGCGGTGTCATCCACCCGCTCATGTCCGAGGTCGGTACACCCGCAGGCGGCCGGCGAAGCGAGGGGTTGGGGGTGCAAGTACTGCGCCACAGGTCGGGCTTTGTTTCCCAGTGCAGGCGACTTGCAGGGGCTCAGTTTCCACACGGGGATTGATGATGCCAATGGAAGCGGCGTTGTTGACCCGACGGCTTTCATTACTTGGCCGCGTCTAGGCCGAAGTCAGCGGAGTAACGGCATGCGCTCCCTCTGGACCGGGGGCATTCTTGACGCCCGTTGTGCATGACTGTGTGTGATAGCGGCGGCCGGTGCGTGACCGACTGCGACCGTGCCGGCAGCTCCAGCGGCGACACCGGAACAGCTACCGGGCGCGCGACTCGTCCTCGCTGGCGCAACGCACTGACGCCATCGACGAGCTGCGCAACGCCTTCGAGCTGGCCGAGCGCAGCGCGCCCGGCATCAGCGACCAGTTCGTGCAGCAGCTGATGGTCAAGCTGGTGCCGAGCATGGGAGAACAGCGCCTGCGCGCCGCCATGGACCGGCTGGCGCGGTGAGGCGGCGACTCCCGGGCGCGCGCGCCCGCCGCACCCGCCGGCCAAAGAGTGCTTGTGATAGCGGCGCCGGCGGCCCGTCGACGCCCGGCAATAAGCGAGTCCGCGCGCCGCTGTACATAGCGAGACAGACTATTTTGCCCAGTCGAGAAGTGATCCAGTGTTGTTGACTTTGGTCGCGAGTCGCATTCCTTCCGCTCACCGGGCGCAGCGCGGCGCCCGCTCGCTCGCGCCGAGGTCCGCTAGTCGCCGGGCCCGCCCGCCCCACCCGATGAATGCCGCGAGAAATCAAAACCTGCGAGACTAGTACGACCGACGCCTGCGGCGACGGGTCGCATCGAACAAACGTGGGGGCCGAGCGCGGGACGGGGCCCGCCCGCCGCCGGGGCCTGCCAGCCCGCCGGGGGCGGCGCCTCGGCGGCCCCGCTCGAGTCTAGAATATATTTATTGGCTGGACGCGCCTGTGCTCGATTGACATAGCGTTGTTGAATTATAGCGACAATTATGTGTGTAACAAAATGTATATACTAATAACAATACAATATTTGAGCGCGCAGTGCGTGGGTTTTCGTCGGAGACCTCAGAGAGGCGCGTTGACAGAGACCCAGGGTCGCAGTGGTTGATGTTCTTAACACTCGCACAGTAATTGCAAACAAATTTATCATCTTGAAGTCCAGACAACAAACTTATCGACCGGTCTTCGGACCCGTAAAGACCAGTCTTCGGAGCCGCTCCGACATTGATCGGCCCGGCTGTGCGTCTCTGCGGACTTCATTAATCAGTCAGTTTACACACGCCATTCTCCCCTGCACGGGAAGGCACGGCAACGGTTTCCTCGACAGATGCGTCGCCCGGGTTCCGGTCCTTCGGAGCCGGACGCAGACGGAGATCCGCTGACAGACCCACAGCGGTCACACAGGCTCAGGCGCTGCCGGGGTCACGCCGCGGGTCGTGTCTGCCGGGGTCAGACCCCGGTCACCTTCCAGGCCAGGCCTAGTTCACATTCGGCTGATCTTTCGGACTGGAGGTGGCAAAGATCTTTAACAGCTCCTCCCGACCTGGCCGGGTCATCCCAGGCCCGGGATCGTGCCAGGTCAGGTCACACGTCCAGATCGTCGTCGGGATCCTCCTCGTCCCAGTCGTCGGCGGCGTCCGGCTGGTAGAAGATCTGACCTCCCGACCCGGCCTCCTCCCGACCCTGCTCCGGCCTGCGGGCAGAACGTTGGACGACTCCAGTGCGACCTCGAGCCAGACTGCCACGGAAGCAACGGCAGCCAGACTGCCACGGAAGCCACAGCAGCCAGACTGCCACGGAAACCACGGCAGTCAGATTGATACGGAAGCCACAACAGCCAGACTCCGCGCTACAAATGTACGTTGAGAGCAGTGCCGTCCTGTTGTAAAGGCAACAACGACGCAACTAACAGACCGTGATCCCCAAAATGCGTGGAAAATGTTGGGCCGCTCCACTAAGTCAAGAAATAGCCACCAACGGGGCATTCTCGTTTTCCATGGCGGATTAACAAGCAACAAAAGGTTAGAAATGAGCGACGCCCATAGCATACACATGAAATACAACTTGTCATAGTGAAACATGACTGCCGGTGCAATTACAACTGTCATTGATTGAAACCAACTCTTCACAACCACGCAAGTGTTTCAAAGTTTACTGAATACAACAACGCCAAAGAAGCATTTAAGGGATTGGGCTAACTCAAGGTTTTTAATTTTAACTGCCCAAAATATTTTAATTCCAAAAGGCCGTTTTGCACAGGCTGCTCGGCAGGCGCAGGACAAAGGACATGCCCCTTATGCCACTTTTTGTTCGGCTGATGACGCCATAAGCCATGATTTAACGTACTGGTGTAATGCAGCGACCACATAAGGTACGAACCTGCAATAGGACCCATATAAAGCCAAAACTAGAGGCATATTGAAGCATTGAGGGAGAACAGCTGGTAAAACTATACAATCTGAATTGATTTGCAAAACATGACGCTCTCTGACATACGTATCCAAATATTAGTCTCGATTAATATAACGTCCCTTAATGGCCGAAAAATGATTCCACCCACTATCAAAACAAGAGTGGATGCTGAACCTTATCACTTACGCGCCACGTTGTCTTTGCTCAGCTTGCCCGGCACATCAAACACGGAATAGCTACGGGCGACACAGGGGCCTGGTTTTCAAAGGAAGCCACCAACCAGCGCACTTCTGATTCCCCACGCATGAACAAGCGCTCCATAAACCAGCTTGGATTTGTACTTGCAAGGCCTTTCGGAGGATGATTACGACCCACATTGTTTGCCTTTTCCGGTCCATTCACTCGCACGTGGGTGATTAACAAATGCGCAGTTTCGTAGTTTGGTTTGATGAAACCACGCCCTGATCTACCTGCGAACGTGCGTGTGCTACGCATGCAGGACCTCAGCAACAGGCCGGTCGGAAAAGGCCGAGATGCGGCCGGGTGGCGGACAGTGGCGTCGATCTACGTCACGAGCCTGGTCCGCACCGCGTTTGCGGGGGCCGTCACGTAAAGTAATGCTGAAGGCATGTCCTGTGGAAAGTATCCAATTAATTACGGCCCCGTCCGGGGCGACGCCGAACGGCCTTGCGGCGCGGCAGGGCATCTGCCAGCGGAGCAGTGCCGCACTGGAGACTCACCTGAGGTGAGGCGGCACGAGCCGGGCCTTATCTGAGCTGGGGCAGCACCAGCCTGGCCTTATCTGAGATAGGGGCAGCACGAGCCGGGCCTTATCTGAGCCAGGGCAGCTCGAAACGGGCCGTATCTGGTATAGGGCAGCAAGAGCCGGGCTTTATCTGAGATAGGGCAGCACGAGCCGGGCCTGACCTGCGATAGGGCAGCACGAGCCGGACCTTACCTGAGGTAGGGCCACCACCAGCCTGGCCTTATCTGATCAGGGCAAGCTTGAACCAGGAGGTATCTGGTATAGGGCAGCAAGAGCCGGCCTTACCTGAGGTAGGGCAGCACGAGCCGGCTGCGCGCCTGGCGCTCCTGCTCCGACAGCTGCAGGCTGAAGGTGGTGAGGGGCCGGTGGTCAGCTGGGCGGGCCGGATCGGGACCCGGACGCTGCACAGGGGCGAGTTGGGGCCGCCGCGGCTCCACGCGGGTCACCTGCAGCCCGGGTGTCCAGGACCACCCGCTCCTCCTGAACGGGGACACGGGGAGGTCAGGACAGTGACAGGGGTAACAGATAACCTGCAGCCCGGTGTCCAGGACCACCCGCTCCTTCTAACGGAGACACGGGGAGGGGGGGGGGGCGTCACGACAAGTGATAGGGGGAAAGACCAGCCTGCAGCTTGTGTGTCCAGACACACCCGCTCCTTCTCATCCGATCACGGGAAGCCAGTGAAACAATGACGGACACTGGCCGCAAGAAACTGACCGCAAGAACAGTCTAGCACGTTCATGAAGTCATCACAGATACAAAGCATTTGATCTTTGAATGCATTCTCACAACTTTCGACATGTTTTTAACCTCAGCAATACATAGATTGAATGATTGATTGACATTAGGGGATGGAACATATCAAACGCACTAATAACGCCCATCTGTTTGTAAAGCCATTCTGTCACGTGCATTCCCCATGCAAACAGTTCCCAAACACCTCATATCCCACGTTTGTGGCTGACGTGGCAGCGGCCTGGCGATCTATGCCGCGCGCGCGCCGCTCTGCGCCCACTGTACGTACAGCCGTATCGACCTTGCCGGTCCTGGAGCGGCAGGTGACGCTGATGGCCACCTCGCGTCCCGTGCCCTCCACCGCCACCACGTGACTGGCGTAGTGGCGCAGCTGGGCCAGCCACTCCTCACCGATGGCGTTCTCACCCACCGCCAGCACCATCTGGTGGCCTGGGGCGGGAACAGCGCGTGGTCAGCGCCATCTGGCGGTCCGAGGGGGAACGGCACATGATCGCGAAATGTTGGGGGCGAGCAGTTTAACAAGTCGGTGGGTGAGGTTTTAGTTATGTCTGTTAGCATTAGCCCAAATGAACTACAAGGAACGAAAAGATGACAAAAATACTGCTTTGTGCTCGCTGTCAACCCGATAAATAACACTTAACATATGGCAGTGCTCACTCGTCCTTCAAAGACCACTGGCTGGGTCAGATCCCAGCTCACCTCTGGCTGTGGCCCGCTGCACCACACCACCTCACCCCTCGCTGTGATCCACTGCACCACCCCAGCCAGCTCTGGCTATGACCTGCTGCACCACCCCAACTAGGCCTAACCATGACCCACTGCACCACCCCAGCTCACCTCTGGCTGTGACCCACTGCACCACCCCAGCTCACCTCTAACCATGACCTACTCCACCATCCCAGCCCACCTCTGGCTGTGACCTGTAGCACCACCCATGGTCACCCCCAGCTGTGACCTGCTGCACGGCTCCAGCTCATCTCCGGCCATGACCAGCTCCACCCTCATGCTGACCTCTACCCATAACTTGCCACACCATCCCAGCTCACCTATGGCCATGACCCGCTGCACCAGTCGGCAGAGTCGGCCAACACCAAGCCAATGCGCCAGACACGAGGCATCCTCCAGCACCATCAGCTGTGCAGGCAGGCCAGCGGCAGGCACAGCTGCCTCCAACTGGGCGGCCAGCTGGGCAGCCGACCGCCAGCAGCCTGGCTGTTCATCTAGCGGCCGGCAGCTGAGCAGTGGCTGGCCAGGCAGCTGCTCCGGCCGCTCGCCGCTCGGCACGAACGTCACGGCCACCTGCTGCTGCAGCCGGTACAGCACGTACCCCAGCAGCAGCTGGTGCGAGCAGCTGGCTCCCACATCTGTGGGCAGCAGCACAGGCTGGTGGAATCTATGTCTGAACTGTCTGTTCTGTGCTCATACATGAACCACTCCCCTAGGCATGGTGTGAGGTATGGTATGTGAAGAAACTTTTTGAGAGTGGTAAAGTTTAACTTTGACCATGTCACACTGAATGTGGTGGAATTTAATTAATGAGTCAGGACAGATGACCACAGTTTCACATCATGTGATACAATACTTGAGGGAAAAATAGCTTTGACTGTGTGAATGGCTGATGTAGGGTGTGGTCTGTCACCACAACAAAATGTTGTGCAAAGCACCTCACAAAAAATAAAGTGAAGCATGCTTTGGGTTAATGACCACATAAAATATTTTAATTCCCAAATGACCATGATGCCCCTCTCTCTCCTCCCAACACACAGAGATGGACCTTATCTTGTACCAGACATGAGAGCTACAGCATCAAAAGAATAAATAGTGTAAAAACTGTAATGCAATCCTGAGGCATGGAGACATGCATCATAGTGTCATTAATGAATGTTTCTAACTCCATGCTGCAATATCATTATGCCTTTCCTCATACTGCTTACTAATCACCATGACCATCTTGCTAAACAAAACAGCAAACTGCCAGGTATCAGCACCAAGTACATATCACAGCCCACAAATAAAGCACCAGCCAACCCACAAAATTAACTTGGCCTTGAAGATCCAACTCACCAATAAATAATACTGATGATCCATCTGGTTTTGCAGACAAGACTTTCTCATACATTGTGCTTCCACAAGTCTAGTCCTGCGCTGAAGATTAAGCTGGAACCATATAATGATGTCATTGGACAAAGTGCAACATGTGTACTGTCTTCATCAAATGGTAGCAAAGAGAAAACATTCCATATCAACTTTCCATTTGCAACACACCTTCACTATGTGATGAAATCTGATCCACACCATGGCTTTTAAAAAAGCCTAATGACACCAAATAATGTATGCTAGTCTACACAGTCACAGTCCAAATGTGTGTCAGTTTAACAGGACATCACACATTACAACGCTTTCATCTGCACAATACCAATACTTTCTATTTAATTGATTGCCTCAAATGTATCTGAAACCAATAGCATGGCCATACATCAAATAAACATGCATGGAGAGGAGGGACTTCCATGACACATCACCCAAATATAACAAAGGGAAGGAAGATTTTGGACTGCACAATGTGTTCACTGTTACAAATCCTCAAAATACCTTCTTGATATTACAGAATAATCAGGGTGAGGGAGGTTCTTCTCCAAACACAATTGTTACCACAGGGAGGAAAACATGGAAAAAATGCAGAGGTTCTAGTCCAAGCACATGTGTTACCAGGGGATGAAAACATGGGAAAATATAATGTTGCATATGAAGGACCCAACATATAATAATACATGCATGTGTGTTCCGAAATTATGGAAGGGTTGGAATGGACATGACTCTCTCACCCCACTTACGTGGAGCAAGCACCTGTTTTTGAATCCTCATACGCACATCTCTACAAAAAGAACAGTTTAACATTTTAAGAGCAAAAAGCTTTAATGTTTAATGAGCTGTTTAAGCCTACGCTTGATATGCACTGGGCGGATATCATTTATGACATTCCTCACTGAATCTGCCCATCATTTGAGACTGTTTGGCCACCGGACCGGGAGCTTGACCAGATCGAGACCAGCGATACAACTGACCTTTTACTCCCGATCACTACAAAGCAATGCAAAGTTATACAGCGCTGCACGGGTTAATAGGTAAATATTGACACCTGGTCCCACACTTCGTAACATCTCAACCGTGATTGTATCAAAGAATATTTACACTTGCCTTGCGCCCGCCGCTCATGCAAGTAAGTGACGTCATGGCAATACCATAATATACCTACAATGAAAAGTAATTACAATGCTTTACGTAGTACGAATTTGATTTAGCGGGGATATTCAAATTTCAAGTCTACGGCATTATGATAGTCTTCTCATCACCATCTTTAATATTGAACCAGTGCTGATGGTACTACGGGGGTGCCTAGGATGAATGGTGCTGTCACCCACCGGATGAATGGTAAGCAATACAAATCGGATGTGAGATATCTGTCAATGCATATGGAATGTAGTATGTGGGCTCACGCGTGACATTATATCCCAAGGTCATTTTGAGACGAGTCCCACAAGCCCATAGCCCCACCTCCAGCACGATACGTAGAGCCAGGTCAACCCCGCAGGGGCACCGGGGTCCCAGCTCCGGTAACGGGTGAACAGCGCAAGCTGCTCCTCTCAGGGCGTAGCGACCCTGCCGGTACGTGAGCTCCCGCTTCTTGTCTCGCCCGCTCCCTCCCCACTACCCGCTTTCCCGCATCTGACCCACTCATCACTCCTAATCCTCGTTTTATCGGGGTTGCCGTGCCCCCTCGCCCGCGTCCCCGGGTTGATCGGATCCTGGTAGCTGAGGGGCGCGTCGTGCGGGTCAGTCGCGGCTCGTCCCAACACTCCACTTCAGCCAGGATATCCGGGCAAGCGGGGGGGTCCGTGGGGCCCCACACGGGCCTAGCGGCTTGTCGCTCACGCTGCGACTGGGTGCTCCGTGCGGGCCTCCGCTTGGGTCGCCTGGCCGTGCGCAGCGGTTTACGGGGTCAAGGGGCGGCGGCGCTGAACCACGGTCAGGACGGGGAGGGGTCTCCCCGGTTACCCCTGGCCGTGTGGGAGGCGTCGTTCGCCCCGTATAGCACCGGCGTAGCCCTGGCGGTAACCATCTCCCGAGGGAGTGTTGGGCCGTCCACCAGTTGGGCTCCGTGGTGGGTGGGGAGCCCCGGTGCCGAAACTTCACTGAAACTTGCATGGCATATTATAACCAAAAAACCATTCGACCCCCGAAAGGGGGAAGGACCACGTTCATAACAGGAAGCAGCGGGGAATCTTCGTCATCTCCCCGAATTTTGGTTTTCCAAAGTGACAAGACGAGACCCTCGTCTCTCTCGCCGTTTGAGCGGAATAACGGGTGTGATCGATTTGGAAATGTGGTTCGGTGCGACAAATTGCGTGATGGAGGGTTAGAGGTATAGTTTGCTAACGGGGCAGAGGCTGATCGTGCGAGGGCTGCAGCCGAATTCACGTACCGCGTTCGGGACAAGGATGGCAAACGAAGCGTTTCTGTACCTGTCCGAGTGACACCACACCTGTCAAAAAAAAAAAAATGCATCCAGGGGAATAATCAACTACTTTGACTTGCATGGCGTTCGTGAAGAAAAGATCGCTGACGAGTTGTCTGTGTTCGGCGTCACTGCTGCACGTAGGATCTCCACTAAAAAAGGAAGTGGACAACTGCCGACAAATAACAACATCTTGACTTTCAATCGCCCGGATCTGCCTTCTGAAACACGCGTTGGAAACGCGTGTGTCAAGGCGCGCCTTTTCATTCCGAACCCCATGCGATGCTTCCACTGCCAGCGATTTGGCCATACCAAACAGTACTGCCGCAACAAGTCTGCCTGTGGGAAATGCGCTTCTTCCGAGCACACAACGGAATTTTGCGATTCAGAGACAGCGTGCTGTGTGAACTGTAGCAAAGACCAGGCTCCGCACACGACTTACGACCGCACGTGCCCAGCGTGCGTGAAGGAAAAAGGAATTATCTCGATTAAGACCACTCGCAACATCTCTTTCACGAGGCCAAAACACTGTACGAGGAGAGCCACCCTCGAACATCATACGCCGAAAAAAGCTAAGATCTCCACCACACGTCCGACCCCCCAACGATCAAATGACCGCTGTTCAGTTTGTAGCGCCCTTGAAGTCCTTTGGTCTCTCGGTTGTGTCAACGAACCAGGCGCTGGACTCCAATCTGGCAGCCCTGGATCCCCCTTCCTCGCTGGAGCGGTCGAAGGAGACCGTGCTGCTAACCTCCTCGCCCCCCACAAGGGTTTCGCCATCGGTAGCAGGGGACGGTGGTTGGACGGTGGTTCGGCGTGACCGGGGTAACCAGGCGCTGTCGGCTGCCCTCCTGTCTGCCAGCCCGACGACTAGTGCAACCTTGGCGAGCGCGAGCTCGCGAGCGGCAGACACGCTTGAGCGTCACGAGGCAGACAGGCGCGCCCGTGAGGCAAAGCGGGCACGCCTGGCTGACCAGGAGCGTGCCAAGGCAGCCAACCGGCTGTCTGGAGCGGACCAGGTGACCGCTTCAACGGGGGAGACCCTCCCGCCGCCCCGAAGGCGTGTGAAGGCCCCCGCGGGCCCCTCCGATCCGCGCAGAGGCCCGCCTATGGGTCCTCCGCCACCACCGCCACCTAGGACCACGACGTCGCCGGCGCCGGCCCCGTTTAGGACGGGGCGCCCGGAAAAGTGTGGTCCGCCGGGGCCGATTTCGCCAACGGATGGCGGTAGTCCCCGAATGCGCCCCGGGATCCGCCCGGTCTCTTTGGGAAACGGTGCTGAAGACAGGACCAGCAGCCATCGGCCGGGCTCTAGCGCTGCTGAGTTCTTTTAAAACATTACAGTGCTTTTAAAGCCCCCTCATTCAGTCGGCCTTACAGTGGAACTGTAGAGATGTAAGGTCAAGCACCCAGGACTTGCAGACAATTTTAAGTGCGCACTTCCTGGTAGCCGCGTGTCTCCAAGAGTCCAAGTTGGCGCCTGACGCGGCCTTCAGCCTGAAAGGGTACACTACATTCCGCACTGACATGCCAACAGACACCGTTGCTTACGGTGGCGTTCCGTTGGCTGTACACCAAAGCGTACCTACACGACGCCTGGTGTTAAGAACAGACTTGCAAGCTGTCGCAGCATCGATGAATTTCAACCGCCGCACCATAACTGTCCGCTCTGTCTACTTACCACCTGCTGTTTCATTTTCATCTGGAGGACTACGAGAGTCAGTCTCTCAACTACCTCCCCCTCTATCCGTTTTAGGCGATTTTAATACACATCATACTGTGTGGGGGTGTGCTTGCACGAACACTCGCGGTAGCCTATGTGAGGCTTTCGTGCGTGACGAAGGTTTGTATGTTTTAAATACAGGAGCGAGAACGCATTTTACATTGTCATCAGGACGATCGTCAGTGCTAGACCTGAGCATTTGTAGTCCGCAGTTGGTACCACACTTCACCTGGGATGCTTCAGAGGACCCCCTTGGAAGTGACCATTTTCCGGTCTGGGTTCGGTACCGTGATGGTACTGTTCTTGGTACGCGAACTCAGCACTGGAACTTGAAGAAGGTGGACTGGAGCGGATTTGGTACCCGCCTAGAAGAAGTATTTTCTAACGATTCCGACTCTGCGACGCCGACCGCGGAGGAATTTACGTCTCGTGTTCTGGACGCGGCAAGCGAATACATTCCGGATGCCCTCGTCGCATCCCTGTACCTTGGTGGAGCGACGAGTGTCGCGACGCTATTCGCGCACGTCGGAGAGCTTTTAGGGCTTTTGACCGGCACAGCAACACTTTAAACCTTTTGGCTTTCAGGCAAGCACGCGCGGCCGCACGCCGCACTATACGAGAGGCGAAACGTGCATCATGGCGCAGCTACGTCAATTCACTGAATCGCCACACGCCGACACATCACATGTATGGGGCCGCATTTAAAGAATCGCTGGATTGCACCCACCAATCTCACTTCCCGTACTGCGAGTGGGAAATCGAGACATCACTCACCCAAGTGATGTCGCGGAAGCCATTGGGGAAGCCTTGTCAGAGCGTTGCCGAAATGGCACCTGCGATCCACGGTTTTTACGACACACGGTTAGTTTTTACGACATGTGAAACTTCGCAAGTTAATTTTCATGCAGATGACATCCCACCATACAACAAGCATTTCACTATCATGGAACTTCAAGCGGCCATTCGCTCACCGCGTAGTGTTGTGGAGGGGCCCGACCTCATCCACGATGACATGATACAGCATTTTCCTCCCCGCATACTACGAGCGCTGTTGGCCCTTTTGAACCGTATATGCAAGTCAGGCAGCTTCCCGCCAACCTGGCGAGAGGCCATAGTAGTGCCTATTTTAAAGCCCGGGAAAAGTGAAACAAACGCCCTTGACTACCGCCCGATCGCCCTTCCATCCTCGCTTTGTAAGCTCATGGAAAATGTGCGGCTCTCGTGGACTTAAGAACGTCAAAACTTTTTTACGAATGCTCAGTGCGGATTCCGTAAGAACCGGAGCACGACTGACCACATCTTAACTCTTGATACCGCAGTGCGGCCGGGTTTATTAGCAAACGCCATACCGGCGCCATCTTTTTTTAAATAGAAAAAGCTTATGATACCACGTGGAGGCATGGAATTATGATGAAGTTACTCGATTGTGGCTTCCGCGGTCACAAGGGAAAGTTTTTACAAAACATTTTTGACTGACAGATTCTTTCGGGTGCGTGTTGGTTCTTATCAATCCGACAGGTACCCACAGGACAATGATGTGCCTCAGTGCAGCGTATTAAGTGTCATTCTTTTCGCAGTGATGATAAACGACATAGGGGACACGCTTCCACATGGGATCAGCCGTTCTCTGTTCGTAGACGACTTTGTTATTTGGTATATCTCATCGACCACTCGCACGATAGAGCGACAGCTGACGCTGGCTGTCACACGTCTGGAGAAGTGGAGTGTGCTCAGCGGTCTCCGGTTTTCTACATCGAAGACAACTGTAGTTCATTTCTGTCGTCGTCGCCGTCACTGTCCTGATATGGAAGTCAGGCTGTATGGGCAACGCGTCGCCAATGACAATACTGCGAA